GATACTGTGATTGTCTCCATCTTCTTCTTGAATATTGATCTGTTTTCTCAAAGACTCCTGGTGGTATGGTTGCTTTTCCTTTCAGCTGGAGTAAATGGTTTGGTGTTAGTGGTTCTAAATCATTAGGGTCATTCGACACTGAAGTTATTGGCCTGTCATTTAGGATGGCTTCCACTTCACATAGTGCTGTTGACAGGGTTTCATCATCCAGTGTTTGTTCCTTAAGGACAGATGTGAGGGTGTTTTTCATTAGACGTTTTAGTCTTTCCCAGACTCCACCGTGGTGAGCCCCAAAAGGTGGGTTAAAAATCCATTTTATTCGCTCTACTAAAAGATTCTTTTGGATTTTCTGATGATTTAGCTCTCTTAATGCTTCTTGTAATTCCTTTTGTGCTCCCATAAAGTTTGTCCCACAGTCTGTTCTGATGCTCATCACAGAGCATCAGAACAGATGAATCTGCGTATAGCATTTATGCATGAATCTGTTGTTAAGAAGTTTGCCATCTCTAGGCGGACAACTCGACTCACCAGACAGGTGAATATGACGCCCCATCCTTTCACCTGAGCTCGTCCCCTTTTTACTTCAATAGGACCAAAGTAGTCAATGCCAACATGACTGAAAGGAGGTAGATCTTTAACATAAATAATTTTGCAAAAAATAAATTAATCTAATTCTTTATAGGCTCCAGCAGGACGAAAGTAGATAGGCGCCAACAGGAAAATTAACGAGCACAACATCCATATTCTCTAATTAAGACAAACTATTATCATAGCAACCTTTGCTAACAAATAGATCAATATATTCAAACATCCGTGCTTCCTAGATAAAAGGTATAGTGGATACAAATCTTTCAGTTTTGAGTTCTGGGGCAAACATCTCTTCCTTTGTCATTACTTGCCTACTTTTATTAGCAATTATTCTGCATCAAATTAATTTTTAAAAGCACTAATATCTACATAAATTGATTATTACATTTTTATTAAGATAGTTATTTATCTATGATTTCACTGAAGACTCCTAGATGACTTGCAGAGACACATAATTTTCTCTTTACCCCCTATAACACAAAATCTAGTTCTGAAAAGAGAATGAATTATCATTTTTAATGTTGATTTGCATAATTAAACATATTGTTTTTGTTGTCAAGTAATTGTTGATATATGAAAAATTTAAATGTTTTGAATATTCCACTTGAGAGTATTACTGCTGCCACCGCCTGTATTAAAAGGGGGAAAAAAATGGTAGGGGTGGCCAATGATTAGCTAAAGGTGGCCATGGCCACCCCTGGCCCCCCATCTAGCTCCGCCCCTGGTTAGTTACACCAAGGATGAGTTACAGGAGTGCAATAAGATAAAATATAAAGATTTAGCAAAACAATTTTCCCTTTTATATTTGTGATATCACCATTTTCTCACTTACAGTGCTTTTTTCTAACATTTAGTTTTAAGCACTGGGTCCAAAGGTTAAATAAATACATTTCAACATCCTTTTTTCTCCAATCAGAAACATGCTATATTGATGACATAGATATTGAACACTCAGCAAGACTCTCCTCCTCACTAGGAGGATAGAAGACACATTCTAGATCATTTTTTTAATTTATTCATTTCTTTTATGTGGTTTACTTATGTCATATTGCCCCGGCTGTTTTTATGAGTTAATTTCAACTTAGTAAGGTTGAACTATTCCTGTTTACTTTGAAATTACAGGGTTAGTATATTTAAAATCTGAGTGTCTAACTAGCACATCAGTTCTATAATAGCTGACAGCTTGGGAATTTGCAGCCAATATCAAACCAAGCAGTTTATACCTCAAATCTAACTTTTCTGGTTCTACAACCCTCCTGTTTTAAAGAAAATACCCAAAGTTTTTATTTTGTAAAGCTATTAAGTTACTCTCTAATGTTGACACTGGCACAGCACACCTTAAATTCACAGACATCCGTGTAGAAATGTAGCATAAATTAGATATTTTCTTCTTGATATGTCTTTTCCTGTTCTCCCAAAGCCTGATCCAACTATGGTGTTCATTGCTGGACAAATCTCAATACAGAAATCAGCAAGAACTCCATACCACCCTTTCCATGACCTTGTGTCTATGCCTGCATGTCAAATATATCTCACTCCAGGTCTGTAGTCATGGAGTGGTTGATCTGAAAATATTAAATTTAGAATTGGTTTCTGTGGCATTCGGTGGAGGGTATTTTGTTTTTCATACTCATAGGGGTGGATCTAGAGATGGCCAGGGGTGCCATGATCACCCCTACCCGGTTATTTGTTGTTCCCCCTCTAACAAGCTGTTCTCTTGTAAGCCTGATGGTGGCAGCAGTGAAACCATCATGTGAAATTTCCTACATTGAGATTTGAATTCTGGTATATTAACCAAACGCTGTATATTTACAACAATATACTGCAAATAAAGAGAACTAATACAGATTGCTTGCTCTTTTATGAATTCGCCTTTAGGTTTTTTAGGGGAGAGTTTGTCTCTGTGATCACCTGTATGGAAATGTGGAGTAGACTTGTGCCAGAAACCCTGATACATCTGGATGGCTGTTTTAAAGTCTATTTTGTGAGATACATGTAGCCAGTGGAAGAAGTTTAGAAATAGAAAATGTCCTTTTTGATGCAGTGAGGATGGGGGCATTCTAGATCAACTGCAGCTATCAGATCAACATATTCTGGAGACCCATGAAGAAAAAGTTGCTGTAATTAATTTGACCAAAGATGAGCACATGAATTAGGTTTCCAAAAATCCTGGACATTCATGCTTTAATGTTCTTCAGGTGACTAAAGGCTTATCAATTGTCTTAATGTGCCTCTGAAGGTTCAGGTCTGAATCATTTCAAGCTTTACCAGTAGTTTCTAGCTGTAGAAACTGAATCTGTGTGCTAACGCCTGATTGCTCCTCTTTTGGTCAAAAGCAATTATTGCTTCAACTTGTTTTTATTTAGATGTAGAAAGTTTTGAAACCTCCTTGCATTGATTTCTTTCATTTACCCAGAGCCTTGGTGAACCCACATGTGATTTTTGCTGTCTCAGATGTAGTTTCCAACTGAAATAAATGTCAACTCCAAATAGCAGTTCTTTATTTGGCAAGAAGTCAAAATAAAAAAAAGAGAATGTGCTATCAGTTTGCCACATCTCTGTACAGGAAACAATAAACAGAAGAAAAAATGTGCTCTGATCAGATGAGGACGAAATAGAATATATGGCCTACATACAAAAGCAGTATGTTTATTCATAAATCAATGCATATTACCCCTTATGTAAAATCTCAAAAGTTTAAGATTGTAATGGCAACATTATGATTATTTGTTTCAGGAGAATGAGGGCATGCAAGAGTTGATGGAACATGGGTGAAGCTAAGCATAGGGAAATCAGGAGGAAATTTGCTGATACTTAAAGAATGCGCAGCTTTCCTCATCAAACAGATCTAATGGAGAAGCATATCAGGACAGAAGAGGAATATAGCAGAGTGGGCTTACAGCACATGTAATTTACACACAGATATTAGGAAAGACTGTTCAACCCGTGGATGGTCTTTTGATTAGGTTAGAAGACATAGTGCAGCAGGATGTCAAATATGTTTTTAGATCTGGAGCAACAGATGTAGAGCGTTTCTATAAAGTTTACAATGACATAACTGTTTGGAATGTAGTTTGAGAATGACAAAAAAAAAAGGTTTTCTGGGAAATGTAAACATAAAAGCTTACATCACAATATTGTACGTTCTTACACACTGTCTTTCAGTTTCATGCTGTATATTTCTGAAGGAAAGTACCTTAGAAGGTAGTGAGGTTAAGGTTTTTCTCTGTTAAGTAGGCAAAAATATTCCAAGCTGCCTTCCTGTATCACTGTATTAAGTTTTTAACAAACCAAGAATATACATTTTCATAAAGTGCAAAATTTGAGTTTTTATTTGTTTTATCCTCAAGACACGTTCCATGCTGACATACAGAAGGAGGTAAGTCTCTTTAAGAAAATAATTGGTATAAAATGAGTGCAGATATATGACAAAAGAGGAACATTGCAGTGTTAGGTTACAGGGTAATACAGACATTTACCGTACACACATATATTAAGGCAGTTCTTACATAGATTCTGTAATGTTATAGAAAATTAGCGAGGACTGTTAAACAGGTGATGGTCTTTTTATTTGGTTAGTAGATACAGTGAAGCAGGACATCAATTATATTTTTAGCTGCAGATTAACAGATTTAGAAATCTAACATCTTACAGAAAAAAGCATATTTTTGAAGGGGAGTACCTTAGAAGGTAGGAAAATGCCTAATAGGTTTTTATCGGTTAAGAATGCAAAGATATTCCAAGCCACTTTCTGGTCATTACATCAATAAGCTAGTTTTCCAATGCTGGACATACTTCAACACAGCTTTCTGTTACACGAATTCCATAATGTCCAGCCCAGAACTTTGTGTCTTGACCACCATGACAAAAATTGACATATCTCACTCCTGGTCCGTAGTCCTTGAACACATGCACCATCTGAAAGAGAGAGAAGAAACCCCCATCAGTAATTCAAGGATCGTTTTACCTTACCAGCTCCTGTGATGTTATTAATGTGTACCTACAGTACCTGATTCCACTTCTGATCATTCCACTGAGGAAAATAAACCCTCTCAGGGCGAAACTCCTGGACTACATGTTTCCTCTTATCTAACAGCTGCACAGAACACTCATAGAAACTTCCACAATCCGATCGTGGCTGGAACCTAACAACACCCAAATTCAGAGATCTGTTGTCTTTTGTTTTACACAACAAAAAAAAACAAAAAAAAAAAAAGCATCCATCAGCTGTGTGCATTTTTCTTACCAGTCTGATATTCTGATGTGTGGCTGGATCTCATCCATGAATGATGGGCTGTAACCTTCTTTCTCCAAATCAATCAGCTGTTCTTTCATGCACATACTGCAAACAACGAAAAATTTTTTTAACTACAATTAAAGGTGAAAAACTTACAAAGCTACTGAATACTCACTAATATGAAGTCACAAAGGTTTTTTTGACTGCAGGATTTGGGTGAGGTAACCTGGGGTTTTCCAGTGACCACTTATCACCACCATTCTGCACTATGTTCCATCTTTGAAATCCATCTAAGCATCAAAGGATGAGAGATTGTTTTTTTAAACAGAGCTGGAAAATAATGCAACTAAATAAAATTTAGTGAAGCTCATTTTGCAGGGCTCAAACAATCAACCCTCTTATGATTAATCATATATACTCTAAAAAATACCAGCTCAGAGCTGTATTTAAAATAAAGATTTTGTATCTAAGATGAAAAAACTTTTTTGGTCTGTGAATATGCACTTTCAGAACTCACTGGCTGGCTTAGTGTTAGCTTTAATCTCTTTCAAATTATGCAAAAATCTCTTTTTTACCATTTATTGATTGGAAAGTCGAAAAAAGAAAATAGTCAACCAATCAACTGATTAGTAGAGTAATCATAAGTTGCAGCTCATTTTTAAAGTTTTTACCTTCTCCTCTTGGATTTTTGATGAGATTTCTTCTGTTCTTGGATAAGAAGTAAAACATCCTCCAGTCTCTGGGTACTTTGGTAGGATCATTGAGATGATATCCCTCTCTTCTACATCTTTCCTTCCAGAAAGACTCACTGTCTGCCACATCTTTCCACTCATTGCAAACCAACCGACACACACAGACTACAAAATGGGGGGGCAGATTTAGGAAGATTTCCTCCCAGACGTCCAAAGGAAAAGGGATGACCTGATGAGGCAAAAAGAAATAAATGTTTTGTCGTTCAGTGGTTAATCACGAACATGAATTCAATTCAATTCAGTTTATTTATATAGTGCCAATTCACAACACATGTCATCTCAAGGCACTTTACAGAGACAATTCAACCCGATCATAGAGTCAGATTGCTTCAAAGTTTAGGAAATACAGCTGATTGCATCCATTCATTAAATAAAAAGCAATCCCTCACCCCAAGCATGCTTGTCGTCACAGTGAAGAGGAAAAACTCCCTTTTAACATGAAGAAACTTCCAGCAAAACCAGGCTTAGTGTGAGCAGCTATGTGCTGAGGCAGACTGGGGTTCAAGGAGACAGAAGCAGACATAGAAAAAGAAGCAAAGATACAAAAGGCAACTGTCAACCAGCTCCACAGGCGGCCCCGTCCAGGAAACACACAGCCATGCAGACGAGCTGCGAGCCAGCTCCCACATCAGAGGACGAAGAGAGCACATCCAGTCAGTCACAGTCAGAGACTGACTGGATGTCAGGACTACACTGAAAAACAGGCCAAGCTCCAACATTTATAGACAAAAGTGCTGATGGCAGCGGCACAGCTGATATTTCTCTCCAGGATAGAGTCACACCCAAACAGGAGCATTCAGTAAGGCCTTGGTCACTTCAGTTAAAGGCCACTTCTTTCTGCTGACACGACAGCAGTGGCTTCCTCTTCCTCACAACATTGGCAAATCAGCTCCCAGCTAAAAGTTACCATGACCTAAGAGTAACCTGAGTAATACGTTTGTCATAATGTCTTGGATAATGGGGTAAGCTACATGCTGTTTATGAAGGAACAATCCTGCCGTAATTAAAAATACGTACAGAAATAAATGAAGGACTAAATAATATAAAATTGCTTAAAAAAGTAGCTAATAATATGAATTTGTGTGCCATTAAATGTGACAAAATAATAAAAAGATATTTCTTCAACAATAGATCAATTATTCATCAAAAACATATATTTTAACTTACACTTTTATTTTTACTTTTCTTCTTGCTTTTATGATGACGTATTTTTAACCCACTTCTTTTCTGTTATACATCTTTATTGAAGACTTTATTTTGTCTTTATGTATTTATTGCAAGGGTTTTTTTTTGTTCAGTATTTCCAATGCAACCTTTTTTGTTTTTTTCATATTTATTCAAACCAACATTTTAAAAAGATGTTGTTGTTTTTTTTCACATAATGATTTACACCAAAACATTTTAAAGCATGTTTTTACTTCACCGTAAATATTGCTTTTCATTTTGTTTTAACTAACTAACTTCTAACTTTTCTGTTTTTTTTTACCTAAAGGATTTTTACCTGCACTTTTATTTCCTTCTCCCCTTTTTCTCTTTCTACTTCTTTTTTTTAACGCAACATTTTTAAAGCATATTTTTACTCCACCATAAAAATACATTTTTATCTTATTTTAACCTTCTATTTCTTAAGCAGTCATTTATTTTTGCCTCTAACTTTTCTAACTGTTTCTTTACCCAAAGGATTTTCGCCTGCCCTTTCATTTCTTCTGCTCTTTTTCCACTTCGTCTATTTCTCCTTCGTATTTTAAAGCAACATTTTAAAAGAAATATTTACTCCACCATAAATATTTCTTTCTACTTTATTTTAACCCTCTATTTCTGAAACAATTATTTATTTGTACCTCTAACTTTTCAGTTTTTTTTTTTTTTTCACCCGAAGGACTTACGCCTGCCCTTTTAATATCCTTCGCTTTTTCCACTTCATATATTTCTAATTCGTGTTTTTTTACTTGCTCTATTTCCACTTGGTCTTCTGCAGCCCTTAATGTTTAAACGATGCCGGGAAGGGAGGGGGCGCGGAGCGGTGTCACCGGCAAAGCTTTACAACTATTGGCCAAGGCCTGGCTCCCCGGACATGGTTACTTAGCTGGAGTGCGCACGCTTGGATTTTCCCTCTATTGGTAAACTGAACCAGGACCTTAGGTATGGCGGCAACTCATCTAACTCATCCAACCTGTTGGCAGCCTCTCTTAATAGATCAGAAACGGAACATCTCGACGGTGCCACCATACCTGAGGTCCTGGTTCAGTTTGAAGAAATATCTTCTTTTTATTATTTTTTCACATTTTATGGCACACAAATTCATATTATTAGCTACCTTTTCAAGCAATTTTATAATATAAAGTCCTTCCTTTAATTCTGTACCTGTTTTTTATTATGGCAGGATTGGTTCTCCATAGCTGTTTTCCATGGAAAGAATACTGTCAGATAGATAAACCAAAGCGGAAAAGGGAAAGAAAGAAATCAGCAATACTCAAGATGAGACCCACTTCTATTCTTGGACTGACCAACAACAGGGAAAAAAAAGAAGAAAAGAAGAGAAGAGAAGAAGAAATTAACAGGATTTCGGGAATGTTTGTAATTGTTGATTTTCTAATGTAAAGCAGCTAACAACCATGACAAAATCAAGTAAATTGTCATACCTTTCCTTCAATAAAATATTATTTTTATTTGTTATATTTAATTAATAGGTGAGTGGAAACAGTACTGCACCAACTTTTTGTTTGCCAAATACCAAAATAACTATTTTTAAGATGAAGCAATGCTAAATTTGTCACTGATACCATTACAAGTTATAAAACTAAGAAAATTAGAAATATGTTCCTTTAATAGGGTAGTGCAGCAACCAGTAAAAGGTTTAAAGCATTTGTTGTGCATTACTTTATACTATAAATTAATACAATAAATTCTGTAAAAAAAAAATTAAACAGTAAGATTTATACTTTTACTTAAGTAATAAACATTAATTCTTTTTACACCTCTGCAGAAACTGGACTGAGAAAAATACAGTCAAATGTTTAGGAGGAACTGCCAGAGACATCAAGCTATCCAATCTGTCTCCAATATTCCCTGTTCTCACTTTTAGGCTTTTTTGGGGGGTTAATATTTTATCTTACATGCTTCATTGACCACACCAAACAATGTGTAATAATGAAAACTTCTCCTAGCAGCAGTTACTATTTAACCCTCTGACAACACTAAATTCCACAAACTATTTTATTTTTAGCTTGATACAATTTTTAGTATTTCTTTTTCTGTCCTCTGTGAATCAACATTTCATTAGAGATCTAAGATCTTCTTTGTTTTTGTTTTTTAATCAAATAGTGGAAATTCATAATAGCAAATTGCCTGATGTAGGCCTTCTGCTGCCAAAAATGAAAGGAAAAAGTGGTCTATTAAGCAGCATAATGAATGTTGTATAGGCTTAGTGGATTTTAAGTTTCACTTTAAGACTCATTTTTATTCTCTGAACATTGTTTTCCAAGAACACCCCTCCCCTTTTAGTGACACATGCAGTTAACTCATTGTGTGAGAGTATACAGGGTCTAAAAACTGTAAATGAAAGTCAGATTTTTTTTGTAAAGTGACATCACACATGGTACATGTACGAAAAGCCACATCATTTTGACAAGGAAAAGAGCTCCAGTAGCTTTGAATAAAGGGCTTCCATTTTAAATAAGTAAGACAAACACCACTCAACATTTCTTTTTAATAATAATTAAAAAATGACCTTGATTATACTAAAACTCTGACTTTGATTCTTTGTGTTTTTTTCAATCACAAAATAAGTATAAATTGAGCAATCCCTTAGCAAAAAGTAGTATACTTGAAGTACATTCTATTAAGAATACTTAAGTATAAGTTTAGAAAGTATATCGAACAATGTACTTTTAGTGTACTTGAAGTATTACTAAAGTGATACTTCTTCGAACTAAATTGGGACATTTTTAAGTTTACTAAAGTATACTTAAAGTATACTTTAGTAAACAATACAGTAAACGGTAGTATAGTCAAGTACACTTGACTATACTATTTTTAAGTATATTAGTTTAGAATAAGTAAACCCTAAGCGCATTGCCTGATTTTAAGTATGAAATTAGTGCACTTTTAGTATACTTGAATAAACTACTTTTTGCTAAGGGATAACTGAACTGTACTTTGTTGTAGTGGCATCAAACTCGCATCACACATGGAAATTCTCATCATGATGGGACTCTTAGTTTTGTAAAATGTCCCTAAATCTATTTTTAAAAATGTTTTTTTTTTTTTTTTTTTAATACAGAATAAACATATCTATATTACTGTAGTTTACTGAAGCTCTGTGTACGGAAGTGTTTTGCTGTCACTTGAAAAAATAAATTTTTGCTCATTATATTGTATAAACGTGATAGTATATTTGTATGAACGTGATAGTTATATTGTATAAATGTGATAATGATATTGTATAAACGTGATAGTATATTGCATAAACGTGATAGTTATATTTGCATAAATGTGATCATTATATTGTATAAACGTGATAATTATATTGTATAAACGTGATAACTTATATGCTTTATTTAGTGTAACCGCGAGACTTCTTTAAGATGAAGATGTTTTCGCTCTAAGTAGTTTTTTGAAGGAAGTGGAGAGAGGCTGGCTAAACAGAGATTCCTTCCAAAGCGCAGCGCATCAGAGTCACTGTCTGTCACACATGAAGGTGGGGCTCCAATTAAATGTTTGATCGAACATAAGAACTATCCTGACATCCTTATCCAGGTAATCGTGGGACGTTTTCACTCTGCATGTCATCTCCTCAGCAGCACAATGGCGAGTTTACTGGAGTTGATCAAGTTTTACTTTATTGTCGGTCTAAGACTGTTGAGATCCTGATGCTGCTGCTGCACACTGGAGGAGATCAGTATTAGCATGCACATATTGAGAAGAATCCTCCACAGAATGAGACTCTATGGAAGAAAACATCAATTAGTTCCTCTAGATGTTCGTTGACCAGCTGGAGAGATACGGAAGCCTGCACGGATATACGTTTCACCACCTTAAATGTGTTCAACATGGATCTGCTGGGACTCAGAATACAGTGAGAGGTCTATTATCATTTCTGGACCCAAGGGGTGTGGAACGAAGGCAGAGGAGGAGGCTGATGCGGCGCATATTGATCCTGGACCTCATTTCTTCCACGAAAGTGGAAGTTGGCTTCCGATTGCAGCTTCCGCTTCGGGACATGAGTAAAGGGCACTTTAATTTTCAGCATTTTTAATCCACTCTAATTAAAAAACTACAACACTTAGACACGTCTAACCTGGACTAGATTGTTCTAAACTATTTGTAGAATAATTAAAACCAGGCCTGGGATTTGTAATACATTTCTCTGAGTTGTGAAACTTCAATAAAAACAGTTTTTTACAAGTCTCGCGGTCGCTAAAGACTAAAGGCGTATTAGCGGAACCATCTGGATAGAGTTATCACGTTTATACAATATACTATCACGTTTATACAATATACTTTTCCGTTTTTTCCATTTTATTATCACGTTTATACAATATACTATCACGTTTATACAATATAATGAGCAAAAAATTATTTTTTTAAGTGTCAGCATTACGCTTCCTTATCTGTGCGCACTAAGCAGTGTGCCATTTGGTAATGTAGATCACGTTTCTATGGGTCTGTGTCCCAAAAGAATCTAGCAATTAATTTTATATAAGATGTAAGTGTTTATAAACATATTAACAAACATGTGAGTAGACCATCACTTACTTCCGCGTCGTGAGGCAGAGCTGAGAATTTCCCGTTAACTTGAGAAACTGACATCTTGTCTCTGGGCGGATGTAGAGGGCTCTCTGGCAGATTTGCTAGGGTTTGTTTTTTTCTATGATCGGTCTCAGTTGTTTCGTCCTGATTTTGTCCAGCTATGCGCTTCATACCAAATCCGTTGCTTTTTTTTATAGAGTCTGTTTGCAGAGCTTCCCCATCAGGACCGGATGTCTATTTATAAAGATCAGCGCGCGCAGCACGTGGGATTTTATCTGAGAGGAGGGCTCACTTCTGTACGGAAGAGGATTAAGGCCAGTGGGAAAAAAAAGTTAACTGATTTTTAAATTTTATTTCAGTTTAGTATGGGAAAAAAAGTCAGAATTCTGACTTTTTTTTCTCAGAATTCTGACTTTTTTCTAAGAATTCTGATTCTTTTCTAAGAATTCTGACTTTTTTCTAAGAATTCTGACTTTAATCTCAGAATTCTGACTTTTTTCTCAGAATTCTGACTTTTTTCTAAGAATTCTGACTTTAATCTCAGAATTCTGACTTTTTTCTCAGAATTCTGACTTAATTCTGACAGTAAAAAAGTCAGAATTTCAGTCATGTTAAACTGAAATAAAATTTAAAAATCAGTTAACTTTTTTTTTTTAGTGGCCCTAATCCTCTTCCGTACTTCTGAGAGGAGTGCTCACTTAAATATTCATTTCCCCCACTTGGAAGACCAAAAAACCGTGTTTTATCATAATTTTTGGTGATTTTCTTATACTTATTACAACATTATCTCAGACATCCAAAGTTTCAAAAACTTGTATGTAGCAGGGGGCTAGGAGGGGGGCCAGCGTGTTTTCATGGGGGCCACAGAAAAGCATGAAGGAAATTTCTTTTCAATTGGTTCAATAAAAATCCTGTTTCTTATGAGGTCAATATACATTTATAAGGAATTTTACATATTTTTTTTTAACTTAATTTAAGTTAAAACTACTGTTTTCTATAAAATTGGAATTAGAACTCAAGAAAAACCATCTGTAAAAATTAGAGCATTTTGTTTTTTGTTGTGAAAAAAAAAACATTTAGCAGTTGAAAACTGGGATCCTATCTCTATACCACTGAAGCTATCACCTTATTGTTTTTGAATAATTTGTAAAACAGAATTTGTAAAGAAAAAGAATGAAATAGATACAAATGACCTATCAGTAACCATGTCTGTTCCAGCACATATCATCATTAGAATTTCTTTTAAGGAGTAGGTCTTTATTACAGGGGCCATAACAGGGGTCAGGACATGATCTAAAGGGGCACTGGCCCCCGTTGGCCCCTGTCTATACTTGGCCATGGTGAGGAATGATGATACGGTGGCGAGGTGCACTGTATGCTGAAGTCCCATGAAAAACAGAAAGCACAACCGATGTTCAGGGCTACAAGATTACAGTTTTTTTGGATTGCTTAAGCACGATTTTCAAAACAGGGCCCGTGTTTTCAAAACACTACACACAATTAGCAC